TGGGTTGGAGCGGTCAGGGCTGGGTTTGGGGGTATGTTCATGCAATAGTGATAATGATGGCAATTTTTCATTTAAAAAACACATCAGGCTGGGACCGTGGTCTGAGTCAGTGTTATTACTATCTCCATGTATCTTAAGCATCAAGGGAACAGCTGGTTGGGGAGGCTTTTAGTGCGGATATTGCACATCAGAAAATCGATCCATTAATATATTGAAATTCAGAAAAACACCCAGTAAGATTACAGGTACAGATTGTAATACATGGTGAACCAGCAAAGTATCATTTTGGTGAAAAAATCAAAATCATTCCCGGTAACAAATTGCAAGTATATAGTATTTCTTGTTTCATTTGCATTAATTCTCTGGAGATTACATATAATTGTTTCAGTAAGCGGGTTTTCATCAGCGTGTTGTCATAAGAAGGGTGGCTATACATACCCATTCATACCCAGTGATGGACGGGTGGTTGGATGGATACCCAGTAATGGATGGGTGGTTGGTTGGATACACAGTGATGGAAGGGTGGACCCTATAGGGGATTAATACTCGGTAGTGGTTATGATAATTCCAATGCAGCCTGTTTATTGTTTAACAACGCACTCTGCATTATTCCAGTTGTATGGTGATTTCATTATGGTATACCAAACTGAAGGCAAAATACCGCGGTTCTACTAATACCGAAGTATACTGTTTCACTCCTAGTAATAGGCGGGGGGTCAAATGGATACCCAGTAATAGGAGGTCAGATCCATTTTGGTAAGGGGATGGATACCCGGTAGGAGGTCTGGTACCTTTGCTGGATATTTGGACGTGACACATTATCACATCGTGATGTTACAGTTATGGAATGTAGTAGAGATGTGATACACTGGAAACAGGATGATGTCTCTTGATCAGAAGCCTGTTTAGGGCCAGACCATTGTTCTGAAGCACAAAAGCTCAGCGTCTGAGATGAAACAGCATCTGCAGAAAGAACCGTTGCTTTGATCCATCTGGAGCAACATGTTGGAGTTTGATAAGGGTTTGATTATAGGAGCTAGGTATATTGACCATGACGTGTGTTTGTTCCTCATCACCACAATCTATAGCGTGCATGGCACATCTGCTGGTGTCGATATTCAATATGTTTGTTATACAATATACGATACAAGGCCAGCTGGCAGGCTTGGCTTAGACTCTGGAGCATCATGGCCGACGATTGAAAAATAATCAATGACACATTACAGTGTTGTACATAACTGGTGACTGTACAGTTCCGCATGTGGAAAGTGGAACGCAAGACACAAGACACCAAAACATATTGAGTGAGTCATGCTTATTTGCAAATAATTTAACAACAAATAATAGTTTTGTATATCTGGTTCTTGACATTCCTTCTCCAGTGCTGCCTGGGGATGGAGATTGTAGTACTGACCCAGGGGATAGAGACTGGGGGGCTGGGCTGACTGACACTGGGGAGAGAGACTGGGGGGCTGGACTGACTGACACTGTGGATAGAGACTAGGGGGCTGGGCTGACTGACACTGTGGATAGATACTAGGGGGCAGGGCTGACTGACACTGGGGATAGAGACTGGGGGGCTGGACTGTCTGACACTGTGGATAGAGACTGGGGGCTGGGCTGCCTGACCCAGGGATAGAGACTGGGGGCTGGGCTGACTGCACACTGTGGATAGAAACTGGGGGCAGGGCTGACACTGTGGATAGAGACTGGGGGCTGGACTGTCTGACACTGTGGATAGAGACTGGGGGGCTGGGCTGTCTGACCCAGGGGATAGAGACTGGGGGCTGGGCTGCTGACCTGGGGACTGTGGATAGAAACTGGGGGCAGGGCTGACTGACACTGTGGATAGAGACTGGGGGGCTGGGCTGTCTGACCCAGGGATAGAGACTGGGGCAAGAGCTGTCTGAGGGGCTAGAGACTGGGGAGCACCTGACCCAGGGGATAGAGACTGGGGACTGACCCAGGGATAGCTGTCTGACCTAGGGGATAGAGACTGTAGCTTTGTCTTACCCAGGGGATAGAGACTGGGGGCTGGGCTGCCTGACACTGGCGATAGAGACTTGGGAGCCAGGCTGTCTGACCCAGGGGATAGAGACTGTAGCTTTGTCTTGCCCAGGAGATAGAGACTGGGGGGGCTGGGCTGCCTGACACTGGGGATAGAGATTGGGGAGCCAGGCTGTCTGACCCAGGGGATAGAGACTGTAGCTCTGTCTTACCCAGGGGATAGATACTGGGGGGCTGGGTTGCCTGACCTTGGGGTTAGGGACTGTAGCTCTGTCTGACCAAGGAATAGAGACGAGGGTCTGGGCTGTCTGACCCCGGAGATATGGACTGTAGCTGTCTGACCCAGGGGATGTAGGGCTAGGACTGGGGATAGGGACTGTCTGACCCAGGGGATGGAGCCAAGGGGACTGAGCTGTTCGACTGGTGGTAGAGACTATAGCTCTGTCTGACCCAGGGGAGAGGGCTAGGGTTGCCTGGCTGTTGGGATTGAGACTGTAGAGCTGGGGCTACAATCTATAGGTTGGGAACACAGAGACTGGAGGGTGAGGGTAGAGACTATAGAGTGGAGTAAGAGATTGTATGGAGGAAATAGAAACTGTCAGGCTTGGGCTGCCTGATCTTGGGATAGAATTGTTGGGCTTAGGATAGAGTTTGCAGGGCTGAGGTATAATTTGTAGAGCTTGGGGTAGAGACTGGAGGGGTAGGGATGCCTGTCTCTTGATGTACTGAATGAATGCTTTAACCACTCGGCTACCCATTCATCCAAACCATTCCGTAAATACTGAATCCATCAGTAATCACGATGATGACAGCCATTGTAAATTGTCTATTGAATGTGGCATTTCAATAAGGGAAACCCATAATTGAGGGCCCCCGGCTTCTTAATATATGGAATACGGTAGGTCTGCATTGAGTTCAACAATCACTGATGCCCTACTTCATTGACAGTGACAAAATAAAACAGTAGTGGATATCTATTGATAGCCATTCAGCTGAAGGAGCGTTACTGTTGGCCGCATCCAAATAGACACAAAGATTTATTTGTATGATGCTTTGAACATTTAATAGTGTTGATGAATAGCTCCCCTGTCAGGAGCGCGGGGATCGTAATGTTGGTTACTTCACTGCGGATGAAGAAAACAGCAGCCACCTCACATCACTGTTGTTCAGTGGTGCGTGCCGTGTCGTATGCAAGCTCCCTGATTACGGGTATGACACCCGCTCGAGCGTGGTGCGTAGAGCGAGCGCTGACAATAAGGTGAGCAAGCGGCACATAGGTAATTGCCGGCATGCCTGAGCTGATCAGTCGCTGCAACAGGCTTTGTCTGTGCCGCTGTAGACTTAAACACAGTTTGCTTATTGTCAGAATAAATTGAATCTTTCATGTCCTGTTTGAATAATCCTCGAGAAATGATCATCTATAGCTGGGAGATGATGTACTGTTGAGACAGAGGGAGGCTCTACAGGGGTGGGTATCTGTCTGGGATCTGCATCTTCAGGATTAATTATTCTCTATCTTGCATGATTGCATTAAGTGTAAGTATGCCTATCAGTCTTGACTTAATGAAGAAACTGAGAAAGTAATTTCATATATGACATTGCCTGACATCTGATTAACTGAGAAATATTGTTTATCATGCATGAGGAGTTTTGTTTTTAAAAGTTTTAAGTTGTTAGTATTAGGGGTGTAACCATGTTGGAGAAAAGTACTTTTTGGAAAACTGTTTTGTTTAAAGTTGTGTAGGTACTAATCTGTGGGGGGTAGAACTCCAAGCTGCTGTGGGTTGAATGTATGTACTTTTTGGAAAACTGTTTTGTTAAAAGTTGTGTAGCTAGTAGCGTGTGGGGTAGAACTCTGCCGTGTTGAATGTATGTCATGTACTTTGCGTAGCCCGCTGACTGATCATATTGATATAGGTAGATCAGTGTAGCTGGGATGAAGTGTACAGCCGTATATGGTGTGTTTGACTGTGGATGTGGGTGCGGGTAGCGACACTGCTGACACAGATTGGGGGGAGGGGAGTGGGGGGTTGCGGTGTGCGGGTATTGATACGCTTGCTGTTGGGGATGTTCCTGTATTCTGAACAGGCTGCTGAACCAATTATAATCACTGGGACAAACACACAGTGAAAGGCTGAAATCTTCTCCATGCTTAGCCAGGTCCATTCAGTGTACAAGGTGTTTGAACAATCCTGAGAATGTGATCAGCTCGGTGAAGTAGACATAGTCTACTGTGAGGGTCTGCACGGGTGGGTGGTCACCAAACAGTGGCATAGTCTAATGTGAGGGTCCGCACTGATGGGTGGTCATCAAAACTGTTGCTTTGTCTTCTGTGAGGGTCTACAATGGTGGCACTTACCATACCCATGGTATGGTCTACTGGGAGGCTCTGTACAGGTGGGTGGTCACCAAAACTGTTGCATCGTCTACCTTGAGGGGTCTGCATGGGTGGATGGTCACCAACACAACATATTCTACTGTGAGGGTCAGCACATGTGGGTCACCACCACAGCATCACATGTGGTGGTGGTCAGGGTCTGCACAGGTAGGTGGTCACCACAATTGTTGCATATTCTGCTGTGAGGGTCTGCACAGGTGGATGGTCACCACAATTGTTGCATATTCTACTGTGAGGGTCTGCACAGGTGGATGGTCACCAACACAACATATTCTACTGTGAGGGTCTGCACAGGCGGGTGGTCACCACAATTGTTGCATATTCTACTGTGAGGGTCTGCATGGGTGGATGGTCACCAAAACTGTTGAATATTAAATTCTGAGGGCCTGCACAGTTGGTGGCATGTCCAAGGATGCCACTCTGCACAGTAGAGTGCCTTACATGACTTAGCCATCTTAGGTTTCTGCATTGCCTGCATCACTTAAGACTTTTCTCCCACATCAAGCTGACATGATGTGATATAACTGTTGTTCATAGCTGCATTAAACCCAACTCACTCACTCACTCACTCACTCACTCACTCTTTCTGTTGCAGAAGTGACAATCAAGCAGCTGAAGGAACGTTTGAAGGATCATGAAGAGAGATTGGAGTCCACAGCTGAAGTAAGTAATTCAAGCCCAAATTAATTTGCTTGTCACGTCGATGATCCAGGTTCGATTCTCCACATGGGCATAATGTGTGAAGCCCATTTCTTGTGTCCCTCGCTGTGATATTGGTTATATATTGCTAAAAGCGGCATTGAACAAAACTCACTCACTCACTCACTTTCTCGTTCAAACACTATCCTTTAAGTTTCCTTTTATCCTGGTGTGTAGTGTACTGGAATACGATGACATGTGTCAACTAAGTCAGCAAGCCTGACCACCCGACCCCGTTAGTCGCCAGGTTGCACTCGGTGCAGGTACTGATATATGATATATCTTGATAAATGTTAATGTTGATGTTGTATCGATGTGTATCACAAATGTAGAAACTGTTGCACAGAGATGTCATAAACTTCAAAGAGGCTGATCCATTTAAAGAGTTAATCACCAGAATTCGTCTAGCACTTTTTTTGCGTATAGCACAAACTTGATTTCCTTTTGGTATTACTGCAATGTCTTAAGTATCCTTCTTTCAAAGTTTAATGTACAATGTGTTCTTATACATGGGAAGAATATATTGTCTTTTGTGTGTGTGTGTGTGTGTGTGTGTGTGCGTGGATGCGTGCGTGCGTGGAGGGGAAGGGGGTGGGTGGTGGCAGGAGAAGAGTATACTTTGTTATCATTTTTTATTTCGAAGTTGTATTGTAAAGTGTTAGGGCGGTTGGGTAGCCCAGTGGTTAATGTGTTCGCTCGTCACGCCGAAGACCCGGGTTCGATCCCCCACATGGGTACAATGTGTGAAGCCCGTATCTTGTGCCCCCCAGCTGTGATATTGCTGGAATATTGCTAAAAGCAGCATAAAACTAAACTCAGTCAGTCACTTGGAAAGAGTTGTCTGTACACAGGGACACAACCAACAACTAGCAAGTACATGGACAGTGGCAAGTGGTAGATTACAATATCAGTGTCATCAGGCATGAGGGTTGCAAAATATTAGGATTTGATGTATTTTTAAGGTATTTTTAAACATACATGTGTTCTGTCAAGAATTTTGAGACGGAAGAAACATTCATTGTATTTACAAAGATGTAAAATTAAATATTCAATATATCAGTATATCGATAAGTGCCATGCGTGGATAGACAATAAATCAATGTGACAATGATTCAGTTCCATGCATGGATAGACAATAAATCAGTATGACAATGATTCAGTTCCTATCATGAATAGACAATAAATCAGTATGACAATAATTCAGTTCCATGCATGGATAGACAATAAATCAGTATGACAATAATTCAGTACCATGCATGGATAAACAATAAATCAGTGACAATGATTCAGTACCATGCATGGATAGACAATAAATCAGTATGGCAATGATTCAGTACCATGCATGGATAAACAATAAATCAATGTGATAATGATTCAGTTCCATGAATGGATAAACAATAAATCAGTATGACAATGATTCAGTACCATGCATGGATAGACAATAAATCAGTGACAAGGATTCAGTACCATGCATGGATAGACAATAAATCAGTATGACAATGATTCAGTACCATGCAGGGATAGACAATAAATCAGTGACAATGATTCAGTTCCATGCATGGATAGACAATAAATCAGTATGGCAATGATTCAGTACCATGCATGGATAGACAATAAATCAGTATGGCAATGATTCAGTACCATGCAGGGATAGACAATAAATCAAATTTTTAACTAATCCTGCACTACTTACTTCCTGCACTTATTGCTTACGACTTGAAACGTGGCTGTGCCAGACGATTGATGTTGAAAAGCGTAGACTGCGATCACTTCCTGGTCTCGGGTAAACATCCGTCTGCGCACGCGCACGCATCACCGGAAGGTGACGTCAGCCACCTCAGATTATTACTTTTCGCACGCCTCGCACACACCTCGCAAGATGTGTGGTTTGCCAGATCGACTGTTTTGTATCCTACGAATTTGTGTTTATTGATAATAAACTGTCTTTTGGGTACTTTCCTTTGTTCTTCAGAGAGTGTAGGTATTACCTTTCTGTTTTGTTTTTCGTAGTACTGTTGTAGTGATGGTGTTTGTGATAAACACGGTAGTTTCATCACTATTATTGGTCACTTCGCCATTCAGAACACGTATAAACGTAGCTGCGTCCCCTTCAAGGGTGATGGAAGCAGGGGCAACAAAAAGAAAAAAGTTCAAGATCCACATGACTGGACACTCCCTCATCCACTAAGCCCTTGTATACGAATACATCGAAGCCACGTGTTCTGAATGGTGTACGCCTCAGATACATGCGCCACGCGCCCAGCAGTCACTGGATGTTTTGACTCCCATTTGACTTGAGCTAGGGCAGTCTGGTACAACAGCTGTTCATCACTGCAGCGCCTATACGGCTCTTCTACCACATCGACTACGACCTCAGCGTTCTGCAGTCGGTGTTAGCGTCTGTCCAGCGTCTGTCCGGCGTTTCTACCAGATCCAGCGCCTGTACGGCGCCTATCAAACCATCCTCACTCACTCAAACGCCTGTCCGTTTTTTTCTACCAGATACAGCGTTCTACCAGATCCAGCGACTGTACGGCTCATGCTTATATGTTATACTATCATCGTATATTATTATTAAGCCTTAATTCTGGTCTCCAGTTTATGTCAGTATTTTGTGAGACGTTGTTCTCATTTATGCTGTTCTACCCCAATACTATTACATTGTTTCACCGTGTGTTCTCCATTACTATTGTAATGTTTTTTACCATGTGTTTACTGGGGTTTTCTGCTATGTTGCAGTTTCTATATGGCGCACGCTGTATAGTTTGTAAGGCAGGGTATCTCATAAGTGCCCTCATTCACACTGTGTGAAATGCACTTTTGTGTGTTTTTCACACAAGTAATGTGCTAGTTGCGCTCACTTAATTAATATAACACCTTTTTTTTTGAAGTGCCAGGTCCAACACCGACCCCGCCTGTGACAAGCATCCAGATACTTGCCACAACACTGATGTCCTCTAGCTCTAGGGTGTCTGGTGTCTCCTTTCTGCAGGTTGCTGTTTCCAGCATGTCCTTGGCAGATGTCTTACTCCTGACGCCTCAGATACATGCGCCGCGCGCCCAGCAGTCACTGGATGTTTTGACTCCCATTTGACTTGACCTAGTTAGCAGGGCAGTCTGGTACAACAGCGCCTCTGCTGTTCATCACTGCAGCGCCTATACGGCTCTTCTACCACATCGACTACGAACTCAGCGTTCTGCAGTCGGTGTTAGCGTCTGTCCAGCGTCTGTCCGGCGTTTCTACCAGATCCAGCGCCTGTACGGCGCCTATCAAACCATCCTCACTCACTCAAACGCCTGTCCGTTTTTTTCTACCAGATACAGCGTTCTACCAGATCCAGCGCCTGTACGGCGGCTCTACTGGATCTAGCGCCTATAACATCATAAAATCATACTCACTCACTCACTCCAGCGCCTATACCAGATTGAGCATCTATATAAAGTAACATACTGCGTCAGCGCCTCCACATCTTCAAGAGTTCGGCAGCTGTTGTTTGCGCCGCCGTCTCCGCTGACCTCTACGTCGGCAGACGGACACATCTTGCCCTCGAAGACTTCAACTAATATGGTACCTATACCAGGCGTGGCGTCTATGCACTCCCTTGTCTTGAATTCACCAATAGGGCAGCCCAGGTGGATGATGTAATTAAGCGCGTGACAGTGTTTCTTCTTACAAGCACGAGACTCAAGGGATGATGGCCCTTGATTTGGAATCCACACGGATGCTCCTTCCTATCTCAACTTAGCTTCGACTATTAACACTGTCTCTCAAGACCTGACAGAGATGAATCCGTACAGGATCGTCACCTCTCTTCTATATGCACGATGGCTTGGTAGTGGATGGTCCTCACTGTCCTTGGAAAACACTTACGGCAGTTCTCGCCAGTGTTATTTGAGGTCAAGGATTTTCCGGTTAGGATTCAAAGCTTCCGAGGAATCTATTTCACCAATCCTAGTCCTCGACTGCCATCTTTAATAATGAGTTCAAGGACGTCTATCGAACAGTGTGTGACTTTACTCACAGGGAGATAGCGTTGACGGCCTTCCTGCAAGTCAAACATCCCTCATCACATGAATCCAGTACCTACTATAGCCTCAATGCCACACTGTTAGGTGGGCTTGGAATCAGGTGCCGGTGCGTGGTAGGAGACGTGGTGACAAGTCTCACATCAACAAGAGAGGATATAAACGTAGCTGCGTCCCCTTCAAGGGTGACGGAAGCAAGGGCAACAAAAGGAAAAAAGTTCAAGATCCACATGACTGGACACTCCCTCATCCACTAAGCCCTTGTATTATCCAAACACCCGTACATTGGTGACGAATGCGTTCTGACGTAATTGGTTATTTCTTGGGTTTCCATACGTCACAACATATGGACACATGGGTTCTGGCTCTTCATAGTTCTGCCTCTACGATGTGCCGGGTTCCAAGGTTTACCTTCGACCGGGAGTACCTGCTTAGCGCAGCAACAGTGATAATTTGGTGATTTCACGTGGGCTCTACGCCATATTGCGTGATTTGCATGTGTCCACCTGGGAATGACAGGTGGACGTTCGTCAACGTGTCGGCCTCCTGCCTCACTTACCTCAGTTTTTTTTTCCTTTTAGTGGACTCGCCCTAAGATGTCTTAGGTGGAGTCACCTTGACTGAGCGAGTTCCAAACTACATACGTTTTAGTCGGCGCCTCCATGCATTGGCGCCTCCATGCAGAATACTAGATCTGATAACCTCAGATTTTCGGCCGTGAGATCAATAAGCAGTTTGGAGCTCAAGGCAGTGTTCCTCACCATCCGTCACTGGGCGCAATAGCTAACGGGCAACACGATTGTTGTGGGGTTTAAGGAGAGTTTGACCAGGTTATTGTTTCCAGACGTTCCGTCTGTTTCCAGTAATAGCTGACATATCCATCTGAGCACTCAGCATATTCGTGGGTGCGGGTACATCTTAGTGGACGCTATATTGGGATCTGACAGAGTCGCTTTCACAGAATGAATGCTACACAAAGAGATACCGGTTTATGTGTCTCCGTCTCCGAATGGTCAGCTTGGGCAGTGGACGGCTTAAGTCTTTCCTGGGGGCGCTACACGCAAAATACATTTCCTCCCGGTCTTGCTTCCAAATGTTTTAGTCACAATCAAGAAATAACAACTTGATTTCGACTAAATTTAGTTGGTACCAGATGACCAACAAGAGGTTGGTTTCAAGCGTCAAGAGCTCTTCAACTAGCCAGATGTGGAAACATCCTAGTGCATCCTCATCCCACGCCAGAACGGTTCAATTAACACACTGCATCTTCAGGCGGCATTCTGCGCCAATTGCTTTTCAGCCAGAGCATTGTTACTGCTTTGCTAATGAACATTGGACTTCCATTAGGCACATGTATAACAAGTGGCAGTCGTTCGAGCAGTTGTGTTGCCTCGAAGCAGGATCCGCTGAATGTATCCCCCTGTTTTAGCAGTCTCCCTGCTGTATTTGTACAGGGAAGGCGTTTCAAGAGGGGCATAGTTGCCACTTCTGTTAGTGGCAATTCCTTCGTTTTGGTAGTCCCCATTGACAGGAGCTACCGTCCATGCTTCGCTTGTTTAGCGCGCTTGAGTACTCAGGCTGCAGTTTTGACACCTGCCAGGAATCTCAACACGGTCTTGGACCGCCTACGCGTTGTGTCTTGCAGGCCACTCATGAACACTTGCCTTGCAGACTTGCACAGCGATAGTGACAACGGTCATGCGCTTGGTGTTAATTGGGTCAAGTTTGAACTACACCGTCATGGTTCTGTGCCTCTGGGTATTTGATTGAGATTTCATCACTATAACCCAGTTGCTAGCGCAAAATGGTTGATAGTTCTCTCTTTCGCCTTTATCGTCTGTTGTCGGCGTTGACAACGTTCCTGTGTTACTTTTGTGTTCAGCGTGATGTACTCAGTTTGTACATTAAGCGTACCCAAGCCGTCAGAGACATGTAAGCATGTACTGCATTCCCTAAAGCTAATAACGCTTTAAAACCGTGTGGTCTGTTTCCATTTAAGTGTATATGGCTTTTATGCGAATTACCACTGAGATGTAATCCCTCTCTGCCGACCATTCTTCCAGATTCCACGAAGGTGCCTTCCTCCATGATATTTCTTCCCACGAAGCACAATGACGCCGTGTGGGAAAAGAGTTGTTCCGAGGGAAACAACTGGGTATGTCAGTTAAGGAGTAACACTTGGAAAAACTCAAGTCAATACTTTTTTACTGCATTTCCCTAAAGCTAATCTCGCTTTAAAAATCATGTGGTCTTTCCATTTAAGTCTGCCTGTCTTATATGCGAATTACCACTGAGAGATAGTCACTGTTTGTTGACTATTCTTCCAGGTGCAATGAAGATACCTTCCACCATGCTTTTTCTTCCCATGAAGCACGCCGACGCCGTGTGGGAACAGAGTTGTTCTGGAACAACTGGGTCTGTCAGTTAAGGAGTAACACTTGGGTTATAACGCTTTAAAAATCGTGTGCTATATACCATTTAAGACTACGTGTCTTATATATGTGTATTATCGTCACTCGCTGTCCGCTTTAGGTGCCATGCCGTTTTTTCCACCACCACGGCGCACTTGATGACATTGACCGACCTGTCTTTGTTTACCATGCGATGCGATCCCCGCAGATGACACGCCCTCCATCCTGCCTGTCTGATAAGTAGTGCAAGATTAGTTAAAAATTTAGTAAAATCTGATTATTTTTTATATTTGTATACTTATCCTGCACTACTTATGATAAGGGCCCAACCTGCGCTTTCAGCTACCTCCCCTCTTCGTATTCATCTGTGGGATTTACGGCAATAATCAGAAATGGCTGACGTCACCTTCCGGTGATGCGTGCGCAGACGGATGTTTACCCGAGACCAGGAAGTGATCGCAGACTACGCTTTTCAACATCAATCGTCTGGCACAGCCATGCTTCGAGTCGTAAGCAATAAGTGCAGGAAGTAAGTAGTGCAGGATAAGAATACAAATATAAAAAATATTTAGATTTTACTAATATGACAATGATTGAGTTCCATGCATGGATAAACAATAAATCTGTATGACAAAGATTCAGTTCTAATTTATGGATTAATCATTACCATGCACACTAAAACAGCAAACCAGAATGACAATGATTATTAATTCTATGTAATTAAATTCTAATGTGTGACCATCCCTCAGACAAATTGTTGATGGCATGTTGCATCACTGTCACAGTGCTGAATGTCGACTGCATTATCAAGCTAGTAAGACTACAAGACAGAACAAGATCTTGTAAACACTGTTGAAGATGATGGTGACTGCGTTGTTCAGGCTGCAGCAGAGGGGAAGGGTTTCCAGCTCTCGGCGTTGTCTCCCCAGAAGTACGGCTAGCTGACTTCTTCCAAACTTTAGACCCCTACATGTCACAGCAGTACTTTCAAATCAATTTGAGTGATTTTTGCAAAGCATCCCTCCGATTCCAATTAATTCTGCCCGTCCTCCCGGGAGGCGTCCCCTATGTAAGAGTTATCAAAATGATGACCCAAATGGACCTAGACACATTTATGATGTTAAAATCAGTCAAAGAATCATTTTTGACAATTACAAGCAAAGTTACGGAACCATTCTCCGATGATTTGGGCTCATCTCTTCCTTTCACGGCAACAATAACTCGACAATAAGAATGAGAGAGCACAATACCCTGGAGGAAGCATCTCAAAATGAATGATCTGGAATGTTTTCCTGAGCTCGGACATGAAGTTGTGGATGAGCATGATCAGTGGAAGTATTGCTCCACGCTCTGCTGAGTCGATAGAAATGGAGACGTGAAAGAGCTCTGTGACTGCGATTGGCTCTGTTGGGCTATCATTTGATTAAAACCCATAGCCACATCTCCCCTCTACTGATTCACTTGTTGGCTCCAATGGCCGAGAATCAATTTACATGATTGCGATGAGCCTGTGTGGTGAGCCAGGATTGGACAGCGGACTGGCCACGCCTCATTGACTCTGCCACCAAGTGACCAGATAGAGGGATGCAGTGATCGGCTGGTGATCAGCCTTCATCGGAACATCCCACCCTTGAGACAGCCACTGTTTTCACATATGCAGCAGAACCACTGAACAATCATTATTCAAACTTGTTAAAACTTTGGTTTGTTTTATGGAATGTTCATATAAGTTCAACCTGTTTGCTGTTCACTTCAGAACTTTTAGTTGAACCAACTTTTGTTTAACTGGATTGTTGATCATGTGTACCTCCAATAATATAAGTTGAATGGCTTGTTGATTAATTGTGTTCAGATGGTAAATAGTTTATTCAATATGTGTTGCGAAATACTGAATCAGTACTTACAGCCAATCTGGATTCAGTATATATGGCAACAGTTTTATTCAGTGTATATATATACATGTCAAAGTTTTGTTCACTATGTATGCTGAAATATTTATTCTGTATATAATGCAAAATAGTGAATCAGATATATGGTAAACAATTTATTCAGTATATGGAGTAAAATATGATTCATAGTATAAAGCAAAACATAATTCAGTGTATATAGTATACAGTAGTAAATCAGTATATATAGCAAATATTAATTCACTTTATTCAGCAATATAGTAATTCCATATATACAGTTAAATATTAAAACAGCATATTCAGCAAAACATTAAATTTATATGGCAATATTTATTTGTAAAGTATGTATGTCAAAATAAAAGTTCAGAATTACATAGTATAATAATGATTTGTCATATTTGACTTTTTAGAACAAGCTGTCAAAATTATTTGAATTTTCAAAATTTAAAACCTTAAAGTTTATTAATTTACCTTCAAATGCTTTCAAGCGTATGTATGTTGCCGGGATGGGCATGAAGTTAGACAAACACCTGTCTGGCAAAATAGTTTGATATTGAAATATTTTGGGTTTTTAATATTCATCACATGTTTCTGAAATAAAAATGACACAAACTTAATTTATGATAATCATCATCCAGCTGGAATTTGAATCAAATGGTGGTGATGTACGTCTGTGATGTAAACTCCCGTCGTTGTCCTGATGGGTGGAGAGTCAGGCCAGTTTGACAGTGTAACCTCCCATTGACCACCAAGACAATCTCTTAAACTGTCACATGACAGAGGAGAATGTCTTCATATTGAAAACAATTATGAGAAGTTGCAAGACAGGGGTACTGTAGCCTAGCTGTGGCGAGCGTCACGGCTGAGCAAACACGAGGACAAGCGTGTCTGTGGAGGCCGTCTGATTCCATCAAAGTGTGATTTGTGCTGTGCCTGTACTCCGATCACATGAACATCAGCATACCGAACATGGGGCTCTTTCTCATCCCACCCCACCCAGCAGGTCCATGGACTGCTCGGCCCGACACCCATACGGGGCACTTAGATCAATCATGTACGATCCATGTGACAGAATGGGATCACTAGCGATGACCTGTGCTCACTGCATACACAGATATACATCCACATATCCCATCCTAGATTTCATTGTTATTTATTACCTATCAGCGTACCTGACTTGTACAGATTGCGGGGCTTGACAACAGTTTTCCCTCTTGCTGATTGGGACAGCTCCGCATCGCATTGCTCTTGCTGATGTAGACAACCTTTCTAAAATGGATCCATTCGTTCGACTTTCAGAACAGGGCCAAAGAAAAAGAACGGGAACTTCAAAGAATTTTTGCCGAAAAGGAACGCCAACTACAAGAAACTCAGTTGTCTGTGGCCAAGAAACTCGGAGAGGCGGAGCAAAAGATCTCAAACTTACATTCAGGTAGGTTTCTAATTAGTGTATACGATGGTAATCGTGGATGTATTTCTGTGTTGTGGGTTGTCTGGAAGTGTCCACATTTTATGTGTGTGCTTATGTTGATGTGTGACTCTGACAGTGTACCGCCTTGTATATTTGTTAATGTATGTGTATGTGTGATAGTGTCTGTGTTTATGCATGTAGATGTGTGATAGTGTCTGTGTTTAATTGTTTATGCATGTGGATGTGTGATAGTGTCTGTGTTTATTTGTTTTGCTTAAGGATATGTGATAGTGTCTGTGTTTATTTGTTTAGCTTAAGGATATGTGATAGTGTCTGTGTTTATTTGTTTTCGCATGTGTGATAGTGTCTGAGTTTAATTGTTCTGCTTAAGGATGTGTTATAGTGTCTGTGTTTAATTGTTTATGCATGTGCATGTGTGATAATGTCTGTGTTTATTTGTTTGGCTTAAGGATGTGTGATAGTGTGTCATGTTTAGCCGTGCATGCATGTGCATGTGTGATAGTGTCTATTGATGTGTGTATGCATGTGGATGAATATGGATGCAAGCAGTGTGTGGGGGTTAGTGGTGTGTGGGTAGTGCATGTGTGTGAGTGTCTATTGATGTGTGGATGAATGTATGGATGCAAGCAGTGTGTGTGTGTGTGTGTGTGTAGGGGGGTGGGTAGTGCATGTGTGTGAGTGTCTGTGTGTGCCTGTAGATGTGTATATGTGATTGATGTCAAGTTAGTATATATGGTACCTACCTCTGTGTTCCTACTATAGTACCTGTATGTGCCTGGGTATGCCTGAGTGTTTTTGTGGTATGCATGTACATATGCCATGTGTTCCTGTATCAGGGCTGGAGTGTGTGTCTACTCTGGTCATACTTGGTAATGTCTGACATTAGAGTGTCTGCCATATTTTAAGACTGTAAATGTTTGATAATGTATTTCTGTATTCTAGTGTGAGTGTCTACCATATTTTAAGGATGTCCATGGCTGAAAATAGATTTGTGTCTGTCAGTGAGATTGTCTGACTTGTTCTGGGGATGACAGTGTCTGATGATGATGATGATTATGATGATGATGAGATGGAGATTTAACGTGTGCCTTCCGACATAATGTGTATCTTACATACAGGCCCGCCAGGCCAGTTGGTGTTTGATCAAAAGAGGGTTGATTTTGACAGAAAGATATGGAAACCTGAAGGGGGCGCTAGTGTTGCTTAATTAAATTTGTATAATGTTTGAATTTCGAAATCAGACAGTGTCTGATAATGTGATCATATATTTATATACCTTAGATGATGTGTCTACCTTGGTTTAGAGTCAACTGTTTCTGATAATGTATTTGTGTGTGTCCGCCATGTTTTAAGGATGACAATGTCTATCTACTGGTAAGAGTGTCATCTGGTGTTGGTATGATATGGTTATAGTCCACTCTGCCACAACCAGAGATAAGCTGGGAACACAACACAGGTTGTCTGACCATGACATAACAGGGATTATGTCAACCTGCACAGATGGACCCCAATCTTCAGCAAATTTCAGCAGGAATTCCATACTTGTAATTCAAAATTTCCCAAGTCGTAATGAAGCAGTCAGTAGTGATTTGTGTTTCAATAAAAACAGCTCTGAGGAAGGAGTTTTCGTCCTCTGTTATGATTGGAATGGTGGTTAAAAATGTTTCTGAATTTACGAAAATTTGAATATTTTTTTTAAGACAGCAATATATTTTGACTAATGTACCTGCTGTGGGCAGTTATATTTTATCCCTTCTTTACCTGTGCTTTACCTGTGCATTACCTGCATGCCTTTGTTTGACTTGATGAACAGCAGGTCCACAGTGCTGAAGGAGCACATCGATAAATGGCACATTATAGGGTTAGTTAATATTCACCCATCATTTAGGGTGGAAAGGTTATGGAAGCATGCATATTCCCGACACGTTATGTATGTATAAGTCACAATCAGGTTTGATTTCAATGCTCAGTTCATTTGATGAATGTCCTTCGTCATTAAGTGTCAGCTTGTGTATCATTTATGGATGCAATCCATTGTCTCCATTGTTTATTGTGAACAGTTTGGGAAGAGCATGGATATTGATACCGATTCCCAATCTATTTACAAAGTCACTCTTTCTAGAAAATTGGGCTTGATGTTACCTGATTGCCTTGGTTTGATAACCAGTTGTGACATGACCTGATTGCCTTGGTTTGATAACCAGTTGTGACATGACCTGTTGGCTGAAGGTAAAACCGGTTGTGACATGACCTGTTGGCTGAAGGTAAAACCAGTTGTCACATGACCTGTTGGCTGAAGAAGGTAAAACCAGTTGTGACATGATCTGATGGCTGTTTGTGAAACCAGTTGTGTCATGACCTGATGGCTGAAGGTAGAATCAGTTTGTGACATGACCTAATGGCTGTTTGTGAAACCAGTTATGATATGACCTGATGGCTGAAGGTAGAATCAGTTTGTGACATGACCTGATGGCTGTTTGTGAAACCAGTTGGGATATGACCTGATAGCTGTTTGTGAAACCAGTTTGTGACATGACCTGATGGCTGTTTGTGAAATCAGTTATGATATGACCTGATCGCTGTTTGTGAAACCAGTTGTGACATGACCTGATGGCTGAAGGTAGAATCAGTTTGTGACATGACCCGATGGCTGTTTGTGAAACCAGTTGTGATATGACCTGATAGCTGTTTGTGAAACCAGTTGTGACATGACCTGATGGCTGAAGGTAGAATCAATTTGTGACATGACCTGATGGCTATTTGTGAAACCAGTTTGTGACATGACCTGATGGCTGTTTGTGAAACCAGTTTGTGACATGACCTGATGGCTGTTTGTGAAACCAGTTGTGACATGACCTGATGGCTGTTTGTGAAATCGGTTGTGATATCGCTGACTGAACGAATTGGTTGTTCTGGCACATTGACATTAAACAAGTATTCCTAAAAAAGGCATAAAACCCAACTCACTCACTCACTCACTCACTATGAAACAAGTTTTATGAAACAAGCATAAACGGCCAACTGATGTAAAACACCTTTTTATCACATTTATTCAGCTGGCGTATTCCCTCTAGTTTGAGACAGTATGTGACAACAGGCAGTACAAACCAGTTAACTGGACACTTTAATGAATTTTGTGGAGGGGTGTGGTAACAAGTACATTAATTATAATCTGATGTGAACTATTGGTAATAATTGTGTCGAAACTGGTAATAATTTGTATTCATGGTTGAAGCATCCCTGGAATAGTAATAAGCATTGATCTCATACATCAGCCGGACTGCCAGGAACTGCAGCATCCGCTGGGCCAACCGTCACAACAGTCTGAGACTTAATGACAGGACACAGCTCTGTGTATCTCCCATACAGGAGTCTGGGCCAGTTTTAATATCACTTTGTAAGGGACAGTATGGCCTGGAGAAGCTGTGTGGTTGGGTGAGGTTTTGTGACTGGGGTTAAGTGTGGTGGGTGTTTGTGTGACAGTTTTAATATCACTTTGTAAGGGACAGTATGGCCTGGAGAAGCTGTGTGGTTGTGTGAGGTTTTGTGACAGGGGTTTAGTGTGGTGGGTGTTTGTGTGACAGTTTTAATATCACTTTGTAAGGGACAGTATGGCTTGGAGAAGCTGTGTGGTTGGGTGAGGTTTTGTGACAGGGGTTGAGTGTGGAGAGTGTTTGTGTGACAGTTTTAACATCACTTGTGGGACAGTATGGCTTGGAGAAGCTGTTTGGGTGAGGTTTTGTGACAGGGGTTTGTGGTTGGTGTTTGTGTGACAGTTTTAATATCACTTGTAAGGGACAGTATGGCTTGGAGAAGCTGTGTGGTTGGGTGAGGTTTTGTGACAGGGGTTAAGTGTGGTGGGTGTTTGTGTGACAGTTTTAATATCACTTTGTAAGGGACAGTATTGCCTGGAGAAGATGTGTGGTTGGGTGAGGTTTTGTGACAGGGGTTAAGTGTGGTTGGTGTTTGTGTGACAGTTTTAATATCACTTTGTAAGGGACAGTATGGCTTGGAGAAGCTGTGTGGTTGGGTGAGGTTAGGTTTTGTGTGACTGGGGTTCAGTGCGGTGGATGTTTGTATGATGGGGAGTTTTGTGTCTAGAGAATGGCAGCCACTATCCGGACAATGTCAGACCCTATCAGAAGTAACAGTGCCAGGTTGGCAGCGCTTAGGAGAAATATGGCATCCATTATCAGGAGCATGAGTATCTTTGTCAAGAGCATATCCAGAGCATGTCAGACTCAGGGAGGAGTATGTCGGTATCTAGTAAGAGTCTGGCAGTCTCTATCAGAAGTTTGACAGTCTCTATCGTGCACATGACAGTCTCTATCGTGCACATGACAGTCTCTATCGTCTGTGTATGACAGTCACTGCTGGGAGTATGACAGTATCTATTTAGAGTGTGGCAGTCTAAGAGTTATGTATGAGGAGTATGACAGTCTCTGCTGAGAGTATGACAGTCACTGCTGGGAGTATGACAGTCTCTGCTGGAAGATGACAGTCTCTGCTGGAAGTATGACAGTCACTGCTGGGAGTATGACAGTGTCTGCTGGAAGATGACAGTCTCTGCCGGGAGTATGACAGTCTCTGCTAAGAGTATGACAGTCTCTGCTGGGAGTATGACAGTGACTTCTGGAACTATGACAGTCTCTGCTAAGAGTATGACAGTCTCTGCTGGGAGTATGACAGTGACTTCTGGAACTATGACAGTCTCTGCTATGAGTATGACAGTCTCTACAGGGAGTATGACAGTGTCTGCATGGGAGTATGACAGTCTCTGCTGGGAGTATGACAGTCTCTGCTGGAAGTATGACAGTCACTGCTGAGAGTATGACAGTCTCTGCTGGAAGTATGACAGTCACTGCTGGATCTATGACAGTCTCTGCTGAGAGTATGACAGTCTCTGCTGGAAGTATGACAGTCTCTGCTGAGAGTATGACAGTCTCTGCTGGAAGTATGACAGTCTCTGCTGGAAGATGACAGTCTCTGCTTGAAGTATG